CGATCCTGCCCGCTGCGTTGGCCACATGATGGGGAGCAGGGGGAGCTTGTCCGTAAGCTGGAGGAGCTGTAAGTAGGGGATACGAAGGAGGAGCAGGACGCGAAAAACTCGAGTTTGTGCCCATTAGCTTTGTCAAGATTTATTCTAATCGGTCCATCTGAGAAGTCTACATTTGGATCAAATTGTTCATCCACTCGGATTGTCTGGTCGTGGCGGTATGAATCATCTGACCCAAATGCAGATTGGTGATAGGTATTGGTGCAACTGTTTGGGGAATGACAGTATTTACAGGTGCCATCTTTGGGGGAGGGGGAGCAGGAGATACGAGACGTGAGGCTGGGTTTTGGGGCGGTCCATCCTGATAATCGTGATCCGGGCGAGCGTAAAATCGCCCCACTGCTCTGAGCCACAAACGCCTTTTGGCAGCTACATCTTGTATCGTGTCCGAGATGTCTTCATCCCCCTGACTGATGTATTTACGTGTACCGAGTAAATCTAGTTCAAGTGATTTAGCGATAATGGCGGTAGCTGGTTTGTCTTTGGGGGAACCTTTTGTTGTAGCTTCACCTTTAGTACTGGGTTGCGGAGATGATCGATGAACAAGTCTCGGGCAGCGTTTTCTTCCCGTCCTGATTTATCTAGCGCGGTTTGAAACCGATCCACAAAGTCAGGTAGCAACTCTCTAGGTTTCTGGGGACGGGTTTTTAACACAAACCAGGCAGCGTCCTCACTGACCTCGTCAAACCTTGCTAGGAACGCTCTCTTAAAGGTATCCCAATCTACCCACTTGTGCCTTCTGAACCAATCATGAGCAGTGTTCCTGAGGAGCAGGGTGATTACGCAAGGAAGATCCTCAACGCCATATCCCTGAGCCTGTACAGCTTCGAGCCATGCTTCGGGATGAGTATGATTGGGGTAAAACGGGAAGGTGGCAGGGATGCTCACCATCACCCGGGGAGCTGCTCCATTGGCGTCAGCCATGGGCATTTTCGGACGAGTTTTTGCTGATCTTTGTCGAGTGACGGGAGGACTCAATCGATTAGATCGGTTGGTTGATCTTCCTCTCGCCAACTCGCCTTACTATTGCCGGAACCGACACGTATCAGCTCAGATACCAACCTCACGCCCTGCACTGTCTTCCCATCATCGTCGAAAGACCCGGGAAGAACAACAAAAATGGGGTGTGCCAAGGATTTTTGGGGAAATTGAGTGTGGGGAAGTAGACGGAACTGAAATCCCCCATGTTGGTCCGACTCTAGTAAGAAAAAAAAAGGTCCGTCGCCTCGCGATCTAAGGAAAAGAGCATGCATGGGTTCTCACGACGATGTAGAATTCAATCCAAAAAGTATCGCTGCACTTCCCAGTGAGTCGTTGCCCTTCGTTTTGAATGAAAGGAGGAGGGCACATATGTGGTATCCCGTTTTCGGATGAGATCTCGCGGGCGCTCAATACACAATTCCGAGTCCGACGTGGAGGGCCGCAATCGAGTAGCTCTCTCCCTATGTTCGTCCTCACCACGTGTGCTGTAATGGAAGCCTTTGGGTTGGTAAAGCTCGGTACGACGACAGTCGCTACACATAGTGTTAGGCCAATGAGGCGCCACTGCCGCCCACGTGCTATTCCCACCATAGCGATCGTCACGTGCTATTCCCACCACAACGATCGTCACCCCGCCGACTTAGTATCTGCACGGTCTGGTCGGGATCCCACAGTTCGTTGGGCGATCCACTGCGCAGCCGTCAAGACTACAATCAGCTCGTCGTGACTTTTTGACTCGCACCTTCACACATACCATCTAGCCACTGATTCCCGGAAGCTGGTCGATGAGTCGAGAGAGAGATTTTCGGGAGCGCTTGCGGAATAGCTGCGGAAAACGAGGTAGACGCTAGGAAGGATTAGGACGGAGGTAGGGAGGGGTAGGGGAAGGTTCAGGGATACTCATCGGACGAAATCCATGTCGATCCTTCTAATCCCAGTTGTAGTCAATCAGAATCGCCGTGTATCAGGAATTTCCTTCTTACACGGCGCGTCTCCTTGGCTAGAGGGGAGGGGGAAGAAGTCGACAAAGTATTTCGGCGCGAGGATTAAAGCGGGAAGAAGAAGAGCGCGAAGGATAGCGCGACACAAATTCAGATGATCAAGAAATAGAAAAGGCACGCGAGGCAAAGCAGAGATGGAAAAACGGTTACAGAATGAGAGAGAGAGAGAGAGAGAGAGAGAGAGAGAGAGAGAGAGAGAGAGAGAGAGAGAGAGAGAGAGAGAGAGAGAGAGAGAGAGAAGAAGAGAGTGTCAAAGGTAGCAGGGGAAACGGAGAAGAGGGGGAGGAGATTGGAGAGCTCGCATGCATGGCACCGACATGAAAGCATAAAGGGTACCGAAACAGTTACAGCTCATTCAGAATCCTATGCTAATTCAAAATTGAAAAACACCAGTTCCGCGCGTAGAGTGAACGTGGGAAAAAGTCCTACGTCTATTCAGATTTACACAAGAATTCCCAGAATTTTCCGATACGTAGCCGAGAACATTCATGAAAAAAAGAGGACAGGTCGGGCCCCGCTTATTCCGGAATTCCTAAGCGTCGAGCCAAATCCCTAGCGCGCTCGCTAAGGCGCGCGTAATTCCAGGTATTTCTCGAATTACGACAAGATGAAATTCCAAAAACCAATTAAAAATGACAAATGCGCATCGATCCATGAAAATACAGAAAGGGCTCTTCGCTCCGGCTTCCAAAGATCCCATAAGAAAAAAGACAAAAGAAGGAGGGGGGGTGGGGGGGGGTGGTGTTGGAAGATGGCGCAGGTCCGGAAGCTGGCGCGTCACATAGACAACAAGCAGGAATTGAAAGGGATTATCAGCTGCTTTTTCATGAGTGGACAAAGGTTGACCCTAGCGACCCGTTACGCCCAGCCCAGGAATTCACAGACCCCTTCCCCCCTCACCCATTGTCCCTGGAGGAAATGCTACCTGAGTCGCTGTTCCCAGACATTGCCTAAGTATCCAAGTACCTAAGCAGCGCCATCTGGCGCCATCTACAGTGATCTACAGTGATGCCGAGTGTCTCCCAGAAATCTGAAGACATTCTTCGACGAGAACGCAGCGATTAGGGCCAGGCGAGTAAATGGAAGGAGGTCCCGATTGGTGCCCCCCAGTGGCTCCTTCCATTTTCCTGAGCCTGGCCGCATTTCAGGAGAAGGGCAGGACGCTGGACCTAGTTTCCAGCAACAGGGTCCTTCCCGGACTGTCGCATGATCATGTTTTTTTCAAATTTTCTTGTATTTTCACCTATGTACTCCTAAAGGACGCTGAGCCTGTTTCTCAGCAAAGATGTATCAATGGGACGCTGGACCCAGTTTCCAGCAGGTGCTGCTCCCCACCAATAGATGGAGCCTCCCCGATGGTGCGAGTGGTGTCTGCTCTTATCAGCACCCCTAGCAGCCACTCCGGCTGTTAAAAAAAAAAAAAAAAAAAAAAAGGGTTTGTGTACGAGTATTGTGTCATGTGGTGAAAATTCAAAATAGTGCGGAAGGTGTGAAAAGCATGAAGACAATGTGCTGTGTGCTGTGTGGTGTATGCTGTGGACAATGATTAATGAGTAATGGCTGAGTGGCAAGTGCTAGGTGAATAATGTGGATGAGTGGTCATTGTATTATAAGTGGTGTGCTCCTCTGTCTTGTTGTTGTATTGTACTGTGTTCTGATTGTGGCTGTACTGCATTGTGTTGTACTGTCTGATATTCTGCCCTACATCCCTACTGTGTACTCCTGCGCCCATTGATTCCCTATTCTTGCTAATCCCCCAGTGTCCTGTCATTGCCCCGATTCCCCTTTAACACTTTTCTATTTAATGCCCTCAACAAAGACTCCCATTTGTCGTCCCATTCCCCCCTCCATTTCCTGTTTTTCCTACTGAGCACTGGTAAACCCTACTAAAACCCTACTAAAACCCTGCTCTCTGAAGTCTGCTGCCGCATTTCATAGTGTGATCTCACGGTGGTGTTGTTACCGCTTCTCCACATCCATCCCCATGGGGAGCCCCATCCTGGCCGGCAAGGGAGGGAGAGGATAGAGGGTTTTAGGGAGGGATAAGAGGGCTGATAGGGCACTAGGGGAAGGGAGGGGGGAAGGGGAAAGATGGGTGCCTAGGTAGGCCTAGGAGACGGTGGGTTTGAGGCTGGGGACATCCAGGTGCACTGCAGGAACCAGTACAAAGTTGGTTGGAACCGGAGAGAGAAGCGATCTAACGGGAGGAATTCCCACTGGTTCTCCGAGGACAGCCAGGTTTGCCACTGCAGACTTTGGGGTTGGTCCAGCCTGCACAGCCTGCGATTCGAGTCCACTCATATGGCTCCGAAGTTTTCCCCCATTTTCATCCTCTTGGGCACTTCAGTTTCATGTTGGAGCCTGATTTGCAATTTTTTCCAGGGATTTTGTGTATATACTGGCTGTTATTGTGTCAGCAATTGAGGCTCTTGCCAGATGAAAGCCGAATGTCTGTTGTCCTCTCTCATGTAGAACACCTCATACACCTAGCCGCCGTAAGCAGGGCCAGGCGATACTGGAAAAGATTTAGCATGAACTGCGTCCAGCTGGTGCCCTCCGGAGGGAGGACGCCACAGAAAATGCAGGCCAATTCATCCTCTTTCTTTTTTTTTTTTTTTTTTTTTGGAAAGCCCAGGTTGTTGTAGAGGCAGGATTTCTAGACATATGACAGGCACCTTCGGCACTTGGCCAGGTGGTTATTTCATGCATCAATGTACAACTGGGACACTGGACCCGGTTTCCAGCAGGTGTAGCTCCCCACCAGTAGATGGAGTGACCTGAATGGGCCTTAGTTGGGGGGATCATATCACCCTCCCTATTCTTTTTTTTTCCTTCTTTTTTTTCCCCAGTAGAAGATGGCTCCAATCTATTGGTGGGGAGCTGCACCAGCTGGAAACCGGGTCCAGCGTCCCACTTAGAACACAGGATCCAAAGATGAGCCATGGACTACGCGTAATCATAGATGGTGAGCAGCATTGATTGCCCTTGTACGAGGGGATTTAACTGCCCACCCCCATACCACATCCCATCCAATCAAATCAGGTAAAATCACCGCATATCCAACCACATCAAGCCAATTCAAATCAAATCAATCCATGCAATTTTAATCTCGACCAATCAATCAACCAAAGTGAAATTCAGAAAAAAACTCTGCCCACTGTGCGGCTGTAACCTCTTCCCCCAGACCCTCCCCCTTCCAGTTTGGAAGTGTGAATGAACTATAGGCCAAAGAGGAGCAACCTGTCCTGTCAGCAGAGCATCAACAGTAGCAGCGGTGCATAACTATTCTCTCTCCTCCTCACTGGAAGAATATCTCGCCCCGAGATGAGAACCTATGTTTGAAGTACAGTCAAGTATTATCCTTTCTTCTCTCCCCCCCAACTACCCCACTCCTTCTCGGCCCCCCCACTGGGTGCCACTCACGGGAGGAAACATCTGCAACAACTGTCGGACAACCACAGCTTCGCAGGGCAGAGGGGGAGGGAGGCGCTCGCTAGCACAGGAGGCATGCCCATAGCAGAGAAGCAGCCGCACAGGGGGATGGCAAGAGAGCGCATGTCGTAGAGCTGGATCTGGTTCACAGAGAGCCACCAAATAAAGTGGGAGAATAGCGGGGACAGATGGAGAGGATACCGAAATCTTACCCTCTAGTGCACTCCACCCTCCCTCGCCTCCCACCGCCTTTCCCCCTCGATAAGAATCCAGCCAGACGGGCAAGTGAGGTAGCCTGGTTGGTATGGAGAGTCGGTCGCCCTCATCCGTTAAACTGAAGAAGCAGGTGATGAAGGCTGCATTGTCAGAAGAAGATCTCCGTTAACTGCCGCCATAGCCGAAAATGATGGAAGAGACGTCGTTGTTGGCGAGGGTATAATCCTCACCAACATTGGTGTTGTTAGAGTTGCCACTGCTGTCATTGTTTGCATCATCATCTCTGAAACAAACGGCAGCAGGGGCATTATTGATAACATGGCCGTTGACGAGAGTGTTGTCGTTACTTATGGTGTTGTTGTTGAAAACGTCCTTACTGATGGTGGTGTTGTTGAAAACGCTGCCGCTGTTCATATTGATATCGTCTTTAATGGGAGTAACAGCAGCAGCGCAATTGTTGATCATGATGAAATCGATAATGTTGTTATCCTTTGATGTAGAGAGCGCTCCAGACTCATCAGATGAATCTACCTTGCATGCTGGAGAAGTATCTTCAATAGCAGATGCTGTTGTAGCTGAAACAGTTGGAAGCTGAAGCCCTGACTCCAATGGAGATGCTGACCATGATTGTTGAAGGAGAAAGTGCCCATCCGCCACCATAGTCGCTGGCAGCTCGCCGCCCAAGCCCATCACCAGCGCAGCCCCCTGAACACACCCCAAATCAAACAACTCGTAGCACTTGCTCATAAGGACCGCCACCTGGCTCTTATCAGGAAGAGCTTCCGGCAGAAAAGTGAATTCCTCCACCAGTTCCCCAAGCGCCTCTGACATACCTTGCATGGTCGCTTTCACCCGCCCAACTAGTGAGATCGTCCCGCCATCAATCTCGGATGCAACCAAAACTGGCATGGAGAAAGAGACCGCCATCTCCTGGGGCCGACGCTGGCCAGCAAGCAGCATGGAGACCTGCTGAGAAACAGTCGCCATGTCACCTTAGTTCCTTCGATTAAAAGGCGCCCCTCCCTCACCCTTAGCTTCGCTACTCCCCACTGTCAGACCGTCGTCCGTGTCAAGACTTGTTCTTGCTGTTGTTATCACCGATACGCAAGAGCGCACGCCGCTCGTCAACCACGGGATGCCTCCATCCCGCCCTGCTCGCCGTGCCTGATGCCTCTCAAAATCTTCTTTCAAGGTCCAGGTTTGACCAGCTTCAGTCCTTGGCGATGGCGTCAACGTCCGTCGTCGTCCTCGATACTGTCGAGGGGTCAGGGGTTGAGACCTCCGGGCCCGCCGGCCGGCTCGCACCCTTCACCCTCCCTATTAGGGTCTGCTGAGTCTTGGATTTAAACCACCACTACCTTTCACAGGCAAATGTGAAGTCCATCTTGTAGCCTACAAGTTGGAATTGGTGGCCTCGGGGACCTTGTCCCACTTGCACCGTTTAGTTGAGGCAGGTCAAGGGTGCGACAGCTGAAAATATTCATTCTAATTCAATTTCAAATGAGAAATGCATTTATAAATGGCACGAATACAATTATTCTGGTTTTTCTTTTTTCACAATTGGAGTGGCATACCGGCACTTCCACACCAGAAAATGAAGAGTTGCCAGAATCCCGTCCAAAAATGGCAAAGGGAAGGAGGCTTGTACAGTTTCTCTTGAAAAACGCCTTTTGGGGGTACAAGAGAGTCGTTGAGCTCGCTGTCTCGAAAAAAGGAGACAGCTAGCTCAACGGGAAGTGGCGAGGGTAGGGGGAATAGTATTCGAGAGAGAGGATTTACTTCTGCTTTTTGTTGTAAGGCAAAGCAAACATAGTCTCAATTGCTTTTTTTTATTAAAAACGGACAGCTAGATGACTTGGACGACGTGCATCTCCGTTGTTACAGTCACACAGCGAAAACCCAATGTTGACCTAGCTCAACGGAGCTAGTGGGACAAGGTCCCGGGGCAGGCCTGGCACCCGTCGCTGAGATTTGAATAAAATCAACATGAGAACAAAAAAACAGAAAAAAAGTATCTGACAGCTACTACATAGGTGATCTCAGGAAAGGCCCTCACTGAGGGCATAGTAGCACTTGCAGTTTCCAGAATACATGTGTGGCCACTATTAGGGGAACATGAGTATTGTTTTTCCTTTTTTTTTTGTTGATTCTTCTGTTTGCTTGTAGTCCCCTGCCAGCCAGGCAGGGCGTAATCCACCGGGGGCAGCAATGCCTCCCTGAGGGCACAATCACACTAGCGCTGGAGCTCTCTGTATCTGAACTCTATCACCGCATATGGGATGCTTTTTTTGTGTGTGTGTGTTGGCGCCGCCAGCAATCACAGCGGGTCTGGTCCTTGGCCTCTACAACACCCTGGGCTTACAGGAAAAAAAAAAAAAAAAAAAAAAAAAAGGGATGCTGGCTTTTTTTTTCTTTTTTTTTTTCTGTTGTCTGGGACTGACGCCCTCACTGAGGGCAATACCACACTAGCACTTCATAGATGTAGCTCAGTGGTTAGAGCACCGGTTGGAAATGCGCATTGTGGTATAAGGTTGTGGGTTCAAAACCCCGCAGCCTTGCGCATGGACACCGGCAGG